TCAGTATATATTAAGTCGTTACATTGCTTCGTGGAATCAATACTTGAAGGAGTCTAATGTTTTACGAAGGACCATTGACGCGTTTCCTAATTGTAGTTATTAAACTTTAGTGTAAATCTGACCATATGTTTATAAAATAACAACCTAGCGCAAAAGTCTATTCGATTTCAATCCAGTTTCTTCATCGCGTCTTAACCTATTTATAATAATTAGTGATTTAGAAGAGACGAGAAAGACGCGAGCGCGCTTGCGGAAGCGACTTAATACTTTTTTTTTTAAGAGTACCTCATTATGACTTGGCGCAATTGGACAACTTCTGCCGTTATTTCTTTGTCTTTTATGTTGTCGTCATTTCTCAAAATTTCTCAGGTACAATGCCGGCAAAATGTACGGTTTCAGATACCCCTTAGGCTATATATAGATCCCAAACAGATAGGCTTTAGGCTAGGACTATTTGATTTTTCAGAAACGAGAATCCCTAATTGGAAAGCTATTCTAAAGACATACAGAAACATTTTTTACTCTATGTAGAAACTCAGTTACTCTATTGCATGTAAGAAGAATATTTTAGCTAGCTAGAAGAATAAGGAACGTAAAAACGGAATTATATAATACAGGACAAACATGTGTAGATATAGAAGACGCTTGAAAGGCGAAGCCCCTTTCATCAACTGTAAATTGAGGTATACGTTTAGGTAGACCTCGTCTTGTTATTATAGTTAGTTTACGTCAGTAGACAACATTTTCGCAAACGAATATCTCTACCTAAAATAGTATAAAGTTCGATAAGTATTCATAAAGAGATATGACGGACTCCTTAAAACGAGCACATTCTACTATATGGTCAAAATAAGTGTGTTTATATCGGAGAATATATAAGAATATCGGAGCTCCGCGGCAGGTACTGGCGCAGGGCCTCAAAATAAGTTCGTACCTTATATTTCACAATGGCATTTCTTATATTTTCTGAATAAATATGAATTTCATTTAATAGAATTTTTTTTATTGGTCTTATTGGTTTATTTTTTTTATATTAATAAAGATGTTAAATGTTGAATCGAAATTGGATTAGCTTTCAAAACGTCGTACAATTTTCTCCATGAATGATCATTGATACAAATAGATAGAGGTAATAATAATGTGGCCTAAGCGAATAGTTGCTGATATGCATCAACAGTATCCGGCGCACATTTTTCTTTCTTTTTGAAAAAATTGCCGGTTGTTTTATTGTTGCATCGTCACATGGAGTTCTTAGAAACGCATTTAACAACCTCGCCTACCTCTCATCATGGGTGCGCAATTCTTCTGGCCGTTCATAGGACAACGCTACATCAACAGATGGATCCACAATCCTCAATAGTAAAGAATAACTAAAGATAATCTTTTGTGGCCACCCAATTGGTCGACGACTTTCGTTCAAAGAACAAAGGATTTTCAGACAAACCACTGGATTAATGTGGTGGTAAATAGAAAAACAGATACACGCTTCTTCGGAAAATACGGGAAATGGATTACTAACGGATGTTGGTCAAATTTATCATTTTCTAAAGCTGCCAGATGCCAATAAATACGTACAACGTGGTATCGACCAATCAGAAATAAAGAAACGTCTCTGAGGCTGAACCGCATTAGAAGCATAAAAACACTTTTTTCCAATATCCACGTTCTGTGAATTTATTAAATAAATAGATACACTTACAGGGAAGCGTTTGGGAGATGACTATTTCAATCGGTGATATGATAATAATAACACGAGACCTTCATGTGCATTCCGCCGATACTGCGCGAATATTAAATTCACATCCTCTTCCTCCGTAGATGTCAACAGGTTTATATATATATATATATATAATGGTAGTTATGTGTTATCAAATTTTATTTACCTTTGTCTATAGTAGTCAAAAAGTCCATATAAATAATCAACAACACAAATCCCAATATCAGCGAGATTATATAGAACGAGAAAACATTTTGTGGTCCATGGATCTTTTTTATAAAATAAATTTAAAAAGTTTTACAAATGTCTTAAAAATGGTACCACAAAGCGACGAGCGGTACAGTTCTATAATACCTGTTTGTACCGTCAGGGTCATGAAGAGCTCTGCTTCCTATTAAATCTTTGGTGAACCCACGCACGCTAAAAAGGGTGGTCCCTTTAACCCGCTCGTTCCTTTTTCCTCGTTATTCCTCATCGTACCTGAAGCAAATTTCCGCCCTCTGATCCTTAGGTTCGTCTCAGGAAATTTGATCAGGGAAGCTATTTAGCAGGATGAAGTTTAAGACTGGATCGCGGCTAGATTGTTAAGCATATTCGTAAGGACGCTCAGCTTGGCTACCGTAAGCATCACCTTCCCCCTGGGCGACAAGTTGAAAGCTTCCTTAAAATCGAGGAACGCCGATTGCGTGGCGCGACCTCTGGTCCTCCTAACCCTATCTAAACCGGCAGGTTTTTCATGCATAGTCTTCCAAGGATTTGCATTAGCTGTGGCAGTGCAAAATCTTATTGAAATAGTTCGTATTGTATTGAGATTGTTTCTCGTCGAGCTACGACTAAAAAGGGCACCCGCCATGGTATTGCATTCTTGATGCGAACATCTTCAAGAAATAGTCTGTAAAAGCTGGGGAGCTTATTGGGTACAAATGGCCTTTGACAGTGAATATTGTTCGGTCTACAGCTTTGCCCTATTTCTGGCTACGTTCGTCGCATATATATTGATAACTAAACTAATAAGTGGCTACCGAAATGAGATCGGTTACCTAGCAACCGTAGTCCGTGTGCACGTCTTGAAGAGCCATATTGCAGTTCGAGTTTGGCTGCTTAAGGCCGGCGTTTGAGTCATCGGCAATATCCAGAGAAGGGGCAGAATTTAAAGATGGCGCTTTCATTCCGCTGACGAGCTTTTTTACCAGACCATACGTTGATTCCAAATTAAACGACGAAACATAAGCTGCTACGTAGAAAAATGACCTTATTCGCTATTAAGTACACAGTGAAGTCGCCTATTGTTTTGTGATTGTAGAAAATAGAGATGTATCTATTGGGGCAGACTTGTCCGTAACTTCCCAATGCCGGACAGGGCATATAACGAAAACGCAGTAAATTAAAATGACTAGTTGCACGAAGCAAGAAAATGTTTAGGCTATCTAGGCCTTCCGAAGAGAAAAGCGTGAGAGTCACAGCACAGTGATAGTTCCACTGTGTAATTCGTAGCGTTCCTTTAAGATCGGGCCACGCTGTGAGGTCTATGACCGTCCTTGCTAGCGGCGGCAGCGGCGGCGGCGGCGGCGGCGTCGATTCAGGATGTTGCATGCTGGACCCGGCTCTTCAGTTTTCAATACTGCCAGTCAATGCTTCACGAAGTCCTCGATAGTTGGGCAGGTGATCTGTCGGCCTACACCGCTTCGTGTTGTTTTTGTCATCCGTGAGTTGTTAACGGTAGTTTAATTTAGTGATATTTTTGAATATGATCCGGCTGCTGTAACGCTCAACTTGGGTGTCCGGTCTAGTTGGCTGAACTTGCTTGTTCAAGCCGTCTCGGGTTGTTATCATCGAAGGCTGTTGGTTGAACATCTTTTCACTCCCGCTGCTATCGGTTGTTAAGATTAACATGTCCAAAAAAAGCTTTGCTCTTCGGGCAACGTCGTAGGCACTCTCCCTTGTCTCTCGAACACTGAGCGCTGTGATATGGCAATTTCTTGGTCCACTTTCTTTGCTGTAATATTACCTTCAGCTTTACAACGTCGGCCGAAGGAGAGGAACGGGGTAATTGTCGTATGCGAAAAGACTCTATATTTTGCTGATATATTTGTCCAAATTCCATGAATTCAATATAACTGCCCTGGTGTTGTTAGTACGCTCCTATGCCCCATATACGACGCTGTCGCCGTTCATTTTCAGTGTCGTACGAACGCTGGGCTGACTGGCTCATTGTTAATGACGTGTTCTTAGGAAAAATTCCTCTCAGCATGGTACCAAGGATTTGCCCGATGCTGTCGCTTGCCAAAAAAAGCGTTGAAATGGAGACACATAAATGGATCGTTTGCTCACTACTATGTCTTCTCATTTCTCTCGAAGACGGTGAGCTTTACGGAAAAAAAAAACGTGTGCGGACAGAATTTCGTGGCGACGCGCTTCTATTGACGCGGTCGATGATTTTTCTCTACATGTTACTTTTCTAAATCCAAAAACTCACCGTATTCGATAAATCTCTTTATTTGCTTACCTAATTTCTCGTGTGAGCCTTTACCAGCGGAACAGCTTTTCGTATGCTGATTGAGAGCTATATTCCTAGGTGTATATATTAACTTTATCGATAATTTCGTTTTAAGTTAATTTTACTTTTGCTCGAGGCGTGGAACGTTGCAGGTCGTTGATGGTGGTCGGCTTGGCAGAGAGAGAATCTAGTCTCAATTTTAAAGTTGGTTGAAGCAAATAGTTATGAGGCTCTGTCGGATTATTGATAAGGATTCATCTATCCAGACTTCCATTAGCAAATGACGCCAGCTGAGTAACAATCGCTTTAAGAATATTTGAGATGGCAGACAGAGTTCTAACTGGAAACGTTGTGTCTTGAGTAGATGGCTAATACGTATACGTAACGTGATACATACCATATGGGAAATAACATACTTTTAAAATACTTTCGCCGGACCGTTTACCATCATTTATCAGGGCTTTTCACCATTGTTTATAGAGACTGAAGCCGCTCAGGACTGGTAAATATAACGAGTATTTATGCTGTCTTAAGGCCATCTCACCACAATTGTTTTAATAAGAACCTTTCGTGAAATTCATACACAGTCTCCTGGAAATGCCGTGCGCGTACAATGGCGCGCGGACGCCATCTGCATAGTGGAGCATCTAACAAAACGTTTCAAGAAATATTCAGACAATTTTGCTCAATTAATTTAGTTAACTAGACTACCGTCTTCTACCTAGAGTAAGTGTCTTCCCTACACGCTACAGACTTTGCCCCATGATCTATTAACAAATAACTCACCTTCGTTGGCCTATTGTTGGCATCAAAATTGAAGTGTGACACTTCATCCTTTTTGGCCTCATGCGACTCTTTAAACTGTATCTCCTCTGGTACACTCATTTTAAACTTGAACTAATGACAATATTATGCAAATAACCACCAGTCTGTTCAGCAGTTCAGACTCTTCGGCGTATGTCACCTTAAAAAAAAAAAACTACGACACACGCTACGGCGTTTATCGTAAAATTTCCTCGACTGCTTCTGTAGTGGACAACACATGAACCTAATTTTTTAATAATTTCGTAAATCTTCAGATGTAGCTACTCCGTGCTAGCGAACGGTAACTACTTGCACCAAATGCTGGACTGTGTAGACTTAGTCCCGAGCACAGTTCAGCTACGGCGATTGCCGCCGTCCCTAGTAGTCTCCAGGGCGCCCGTGATAGTCAGCCCAGATGTCCTACTCACACGGCAAACAATTAACGTGACGTTTTCAGTTACCACTGCTGCTGCTGCTACTACTGCCACTGCTTTTGCAGCGCTTAAGTTACAAAGGCACGTTATGAAAACGAACAGAGTCGGAGAACTTGCTTGTCTTGAATCGATCCCGTTGCTCCGTCACGTGCTCGATATGGCTGCACGCCCAATGAATAGGTGCATCTGTGCGTCGCGTTTTGACCTTGTCAGATCTTGAAGAAAGTAGAAAAGTTCGCTATGTCCAGAACGAGTTTCCACAGGCTGTAAGGTACAGCAAGCAGTGTGTTATCAAAAAGGGAACGATGATGCCGTATGCTTTCGACCACGACGATGCTGCCCAGTGTTGAAACGATTAGATGCATTAATTAATAGCTGAGACATGTGCCTGGACGAATGCATTAAACTGTAAATAAAGTGGCAAAAATGAAGAAGTCAATCGATGTTTGTTTTGGTTAGGCCGGCGCACACTCGTGTTACGATGACGCGCTTTTGATTACAACCCTCACTGAAGTACAGCAATCTACGAGAGACAGCTCGATCGGAGCCTCAAACGTTAATGGTAAACATAACACTGAATGAGGCTGGCCTAGATCGTTAGACGCATAGAATAGTTGTGCCTTCAGTGCAGAAAGATAGTCGATTGCAGTTATTGCTGAAGAAATCGTCACGACGCTGTCTACCATTTATACACGCATTATACGGTTAAGTCAAAAGGAAGGTAGCTAGGTAATTCCTGGGTCCCATTTTGACTTTTGCCGACATCAAATATTTCGGGTCTTAACGCAGTGTATGAGAGTGGAGCCGCTCGTCAACTGCGGCTCGTCTCTAGGCAAAGGCACTACAAATAAATGCTTCGTATTGGACGTTAGACATGGCTGATTCTAAACACTATATAAAATTTGTCTTCGAATTCAAACATAAAGCGCCACCTATTTGTACGTTTAGCAAACTAATGTTTTATCACTGTACTATCACGGTAAGCACCAAAAGAGCTACAGCCAATTTAGGACAGCCTGCAAGAACAAAGATCACGTGTATCAACAGCGAAAGGCAGAAACTGGAGACGATGGGCAGGGCTAAACAAAGCCATTGACCATTGCGTCGTCTCTCGCATTGATCTCAACACATGTCTGATCGGGTCAAAGAGTCGGCCGGTCTCCAACCGACTACTACGAATCTCGTCGAGCTTCGCTAGATTCTGTCATGCGCCAACACGCGTACGTAGGAACTACAAAGGGTGCAAGCAGAACAGATGGCGAATCAGGTTTTTCGCTTTAGTAGACAGGTTTAGAGAAAGCAACTGTTCGGATAGCAAAATAACTAGGGTATCGCCATAGAGCGCAAAATACCGAAAGGGGGAAATGGAGCTGCAAGGGTAAACGGTTTCTGGTGGTAGCGTTTCTCTACGAGAGTGGAGAATCTTTAGTTCTAGCGATTTTTATAGTGGAAAAAGATGGATTAAGCCGATCAATGGCACTCTAGATTGGGCATCTTGCTCAAAAATGAAATTCTATCTAACACACCATAGATTCTATTATGGCAAACGGAAAAAAAAATACAAAATGAGCGTAAGGTAGAGACAACATGTAAGAAATGGCGAGATAGGGGACACTTCGAATGACGGCGTTGATTCTCTGAGACTCTACATTGAGGAAGCGCGGGGGAGTTGATATATGTTTTCTATTTCAATAGGTTTTCCACGCACTTAGTTTATCGTAGACGAGAACAGTCACTGTTGGCCTCAAGCGTTAGTCTTTCACAGTCTCTCACAGTCTGACTCGTCAACAGAATAGGAAACGACAGTGTAGATTGGTCACACTGCCTTTGCGTATCCGGGTTAAAATTGTTTGTTAGTGGTCCGGTTCGTGGCAAGCGGTTCGCTCTTGTGTCATCTTTAAGCATGTCGATGCTGTTGCCGATGTTTGGGTTGCTAATGGGGACGGCATTACTACGCTTTGTGTACAACAGCCATACGGGATTGGCTTTGCAGACAACGATTCAATACTGATTAGAAGTGACGAAAATTATACGTGTTTTAACTTGTGAAACCGCTAAATGTTTCTAGGTTGCCATAAGATGGCCGCTTGTACACGGCTATTTACAGCTATTATTAGGAAACCAACGTTTCTTCACCGAAAAAACCTCATATATGAATCTCGGAAATAGGAAAACTTAACACTGATACTACTTGAACAGCGTACCGGTAAAGGAGGGCGCTCATGAACATTCTGCGTTGATAACCTCGAATCACGAACGTAGGAAAGGCACCGTGCAAAGCTTTGAAACTACGTAGACAATAGAGACACATAATGCAGAATACGAAGGTCACTTTGTTTAAGCCTTTCAAAAAGTATCCTGAAAAACCACGCGGAGGAAATACGTTAATGAGCGAGGTAAAAAAAAAAAGTAGCGATAGTAAAGAAAAAAAAAAAGATCTATAGAAAAGATAATAATTTTGAAATGGAAAAAAACTAATAACACGAGCAAACACGACGCTTTCATGCTTGGTGCTACGACCATAGCCATAACGAAAAATCGCTTTGTAAGCCATAGAGCAAATGGGGAAAGCCTAACCCAATAAATTCGATCACGTTTTTTTGGTTTTGGGATTACCCCAACAACAGCGGTTTGCCTAGAACGAATCTGTTCGATGTGTGGATTAAACGAACGTATACAAGTATAACTTCGAGATAGTTATTAATAGACAGTCGGCGCTAAACTGCTTCTCAGGCTCTATAGGATCAACGCTCACACTGTTAACAGCCTCCGTAAGATACAAAATAGTGTTCGAAAATTACAGATACGAAAGGTCTTGCTAACAGAAGGACATGAAATTTAAGTTTTATATGCCTTTTCACTAATTCGAATGAACGACTATTGTGATAATTTGATTCCGCGATGAAAATAAACAACATGTTACAGGCTGTATCATGAAAGTTTTGCGCATTTAGCCCTTTTCGGAAGATGAACGGGATGAATGCAGATGCTTTACCAGGTACCCAGTAGAACTGATCCTTGTTTGAGTTTTCTTGATATTAGAATAAACGTTTGTTATCGAACGTTTTTTTCGTTTAGCTTCGAGAAGAGACAGATACAGACGGGTCGGTAACTACGTTTTTGTAACCTTAGTTAAGATACCGTATTTCATTATTGCGTTTATAACACTATTAGTTAACACTATTAGTCACTATTAGTGTTAGTAGGGAGTTCGATTGGGAATAGTAGATCCCAACTCGGCGTAATCTAGAATTCTGGTTAGATTTCAATGGATAGATTCCATAGATTTCAGCCTATGCGGCGGTTTTCACGAAGGGTGGTGTGAGTACCAGCTATACTTAAGGTTAGTACGTTGCACAAAGCGTAATAATCTGAAATCAATACTTTAATAGCCAACGTTTTTAGAAAGGAACAACCGAACGATTTAGATCTGCCTGTCATAGCGTTGATTTAGAGAAATCTACCTTAGAGTTTTTCTAATTGTTTTAAAGTGTTTATGTAGATCTTAAACGTCCTACCATTGTCGAGCCTAACCTAGGATGATTTTAATTAAAATGTCGGAAAGATTTGCTATAACTTGAGCTCGATGAACGTGATATTTCTTAGGTCTACGGACGGACTATAGCATCTAGTCTATGCTCAATTGAGTACACTCGATCGAAGAGTACTAACAGTTGTTTGGCATGTAAAAGCGATTTTAATCTATCCTACACTTATCCCTTATGCATCGTTAAAGCTATTGGCGAATATTCTTAAGCAGCTGACAAACGAGGCTGATGTGAGACTGTCGCAAGCATCAATACTTTGTCGTTTCTCGAAGCTAACACTTCCACCACCCTTTGGGGCATGCCTCTCGTGCAGTGTTGCACTGTCTCAGTTGTCAGTGAATTTTATTGCAACACACTGCTTATTTTTCCTTGGAAATTTGGGAATTCCTGTTTTTTTTTCCCGATTGTCTAGACATTTCGATGGGAGTAAGGTCTGCCGTGTTAGCAGGCAGCAGCTAAACGCCATTGACAGCAAGTTGTCTAGGTGTGCGAACCCTGTGTGTGACAAAGCACTCCATCATGCATGAGGATGTAGTCATCCTCTACAAACCGCTTCCGCGCCTTAAGAGGCACGCTGCTCTCAACATACTCTTGCTATGGTTGTATTTCCTGTGCGAACTATATCATTCCAATGCCCTTGTCAGACTTGCCCCCATCATAACTTTTGACGGATGTTCGATTTCCGGTACGACTGGGTTTTCGGAAACAGCTTTGCCAACGCGTATAATAGGTGTTTTGCCAAGAAAATTCATCGGAGAATAGACTCTTTTCCGGTTTTCAACAGTCTTATCTTTCACTTGATTGGCCTGTTTCCCTCGAGCAGTCAACCGAAGAGTCTTAGCAAGCTTAACCCAGCTTTTTTGAGTCGGCGGTGAAGCGTATTTTGTCAACGCACAGAATCCGCGGCCTCTCAGTCTGCTTTGGAAAATACTATATAGGATGAGTTTATTTTTCTAAGTTTGTGATTAATCACACGGCTTCTTCGCTTTGTAGTACATCTTTGCGATATTGGTACCGATTTGACGCGGCGACAGCGGAATGTTTGCCCTTAGCTTTTTAGCAATACTGGCTAAGAAATATGAAACATTTTAGCAGTTTTGCGTTGTCTATATGGGTTCCGATGAAGCAATCTGCTAATCACCGTTTTCTGCTCTTCAGTAATATTTGGTCTTCTTCCTGTTTCGGCACTTTGTGTACAGAAAAACGCAAAATCACCAGAAAAAAACGCTCGAAGCAATCAAGTTTATCTAAATACCACTAGTTGGGCGCTCAGCGGCGACAACAGTCGCGTAAGACGACGCCGATTGTACACAGCATGACACGTTAGCACAAAGTGAATTCTGGACTCGTTAAAACCCAATTATAGTCAGCCATGGCTACCAACGTAAAATACGATCTATCAGCCATACATATCACATTATATGTCATCGGTTTTCTGTCAAATATAATCCGTAATAATAATATAAATAGATCCTTTATCGACATGTAGGGTGTAATCGGTCTAAAGTGAACTAATGCCATTTCCATAAGCCAAAAGTCGTGTGAAAATATCTCTGCACAACAACATTGCGCAATTGGGCTTTGAAGTTGAGACCATTCAACTGAGCGCCGCTTCTAGTTAAACTTATCTCGGTCTGTAGTGGTGGCATTTTTAAAATGATCGCCCGATGCCACGAAGCACATGTGACAGACCCACGAGCTCTGTTATGCTATCAGAACAAGATCGAGATGTAATACCGCCTCTCTCTCTATAACGAGAAAAACTAAATTTTTAAAAAATTCTAATTAATATTGAAGAACTCAAATCGTTTATATGAAATCTAAAACTGCTTACGCTGCCACGAGTTGCGTATATCAATATAGCAGAGTTACGGGACCTGTCCTAGCTCATTACGTCCGTGTACGTTCCTACAAGTTCTATTACGAAAATAATATAGAGCACATTATTTCAATAATTCCTCAACTGTGACATCATACACTGTAATCGTGCATCGATGGCCGCTTGGTCAGAAGACAAAGCGGAAAACTGTAATTATTCTGTTTTAAAATTATAGCGCAGAGGGCTTTTTTTATTCGAAACCGATTGCCTACGGTTTTGCCCATTCCTCTTTCCAAAACTCTACAAGCGACATTGATGCGGTTGTTGTCCATATGGATACATGTTGTTATAGAGCCATACTCGGCTCCATCTTCTTTGTTTACAATGATTGGCACGCCCCAGATAATGAGGCTATCTCGTTGGCCATGTACTGATCAGTTCCAAGAGTGGACTATTTAAACCCGGAAAATCTGCAGGCCATATTTATGACTTGCACGGATATATTGACCTGCTTCGAAGGACTCACCAAAAAACAGTTTTGGGTTTTCCAGCGTCTGCTGTGACGGATTTGACAAAGACAACAACATCCTGGATTATACTCCGTACCGACATAATTATTTTAGCAAAAAGCAGCTATTATTTAATCTCTTCGCGCCCAAAAAAATTAACGAGGTAATAAGCTTCGTGCGGCACATCAAATAAATAGTTTACAGTATCCTAAGCACAAATAAATAGTACACAGCTGCAATAGTAGCGGAAACAGATTTCAACGCAGCTCAACAAGGGATCCATAATGTCCATAGTCATATAGAAGAAATCTTCTGGATTGCTTACACAGCTTGTTGCTAGTGTCAACGAAGAGCCGATAGGGCAAATTCTATTC